GCCATTGTGCGTATATCCAAATGATAATTAATCAGTTGAATCTGTTGCTAGAAGTTATGGATGAGACCAAATTTTAGATTTGTTCTTTTCCTATGGTATGCCTCATCCATCTTCCTGATTTTAGCATCATGCTCATTCTTCTGCTATGAATAGAATAAGCTGGGAGTGTGAAATATTTATTTATGTAAAGTGGGTTCTTTAGAACATGGGTCATCCTGTTTGGCTAAGGTGTCACGTAAAACCATTGGCTGTATTGTCAGCCTGTGGAGCTGCCAAGGTGCTGGGCCCGCTTTTTCCGTCTCTTGGCAAGAAGTAGATTGCTAGTTTCCTGCCGCTAATAGTTAATAGTGGCCTGCAGCCAACTGAGGCAACCAAAAAGGTTGTGTGCCATGTTTTAGAACAATTAGTATATCCATGCATCTACTAGAATGAGACGGTTATTTGGGTCAGTGTGTAAGCATACCAGAAAAGACTAACCCCTTAATAAAGAACATAACCACCAATCGCAGACACTATACATTTCATATTGGCTTGTTTGCTTTCATTCCTTTATTTTCTCTGTGCATGATCCTTCTCTTATTTATTACATGAGCCCTGGAATTTCTTTCCCAAAGCATTTGGGAGGGCAGTTCATTCAACTGAGCCAATCTGTAAGCTTTGTAATATTTAAATTAACTTTAGCCTCGCAGCATGGTACCAATTTGCCTTACAGAGCTATTTTTCTCCAACGTGTGGATTTGCTGCAAGTATTTCAGGGTAATTTACAGTAATTTACAGTTCATTTAGATCTTCCAATTTCTACTTCTCTTTCTCCCTTCCTTCCTTCCTTCCTTCCTTCCTTCCTTCCTTCGAGTCAGACTTCATTCCTGGCAATTATAGGGAAAAGTCCATGCAGTTTCCTTGGCACCATTTTTGGAAATGGCTTGCCATTACCATCTTGTTTCTAGGGCTGAGAAGGAATGACTGACCAAAGTCACCTATCTGGCTTCCATATCCAGGGCAGGACTAGAACTCAGGTTTCCCCAGTGCTAGCCCAGCACCTTAATTCTCTAGCCCATAATTACCAGAAAACAAAGGGTCATTCCCTGGAATTTCAGTATCTGAATGCATGGTCGTGTTGTTTTACATAAGTTTGAAAATGATTAAATAATCCCTTAAATCAATGTTTTCTACTTAAAATACACACTAGGTTATTTAACTGCTTAGTAATGTTTTGTCTCTACAATATGATTGTCAAAGCATATCATTACAAAAGTGGCTATTACTAATGAAGCAATTTGGAAAGCAATAAAATAGTTTTAATCTAAATATATTTTTAACCTTAGACCACTTATAGTTGCTTCAGTTTCTTTCTTGAATGTTGATCACTTTGACCAGGTATATCTATTATCCAAAAATCAAAATGCCTTTCTTACCAAGATTGACCTAGATCAATCAGAAGATCTAAACTTCCCTTGAAAGAGAAGGAAAAAAATATATAGAGAGAACAGTTGCCTTTGAGAGCTTTGGGTCAAGAAAGCATTGGAATTTGACATCCCAGAGAGAAGGAGAGGAAGTCTTGGTGAGATAAACCTTGTTCAGATTGTTGTACTGCAGTGTTGTCCAAACTTGGCCACTTTAAGATGAGTGGACTTCAACTCCCAGAATTCCCCAGCCATTCCCCAGAAGTCCACTCATCTTAAAGTGGCCAAGTTTGGACAACACTGTTGTACTGTGTTGCCACTTTCTCCAAGTTCTTGCAGCTGCCGGTACAGATTCCACGTCAAAGCAGTGATATATGCTCTGTAGTACAAAAGGGTATTCAAGAGTGCAGTTCTGTACCAAGAATACTGAGAGGAAAAGATGCTAGATTAGCGGATTATGAAGAAAGCTCCTTGGGCAGACATTCCTCAGTCTCAAGGGATTCAAAAGAAAAGTATGGGAGAGAGTATTTGGCTGCATCCAAGAATCTCAGTTAGTTTGCCCAAACTTGCTTTATAAGTGCCTGTCTCATTCCAGTATTTCCTAGACAACGAAGGAATAGCCTTGCTGGACGATGGAGAGATATTTTTTGCTGTCCCATTAAGTTTTTTTTTCTCTCTCTCTCTTTCTAAAAATAGGAGTAGAATAGCAGAAAGACAAATTCTGATTTTCCAGTACAATACTGTAACTTTTCTGTATGATCATACAAAGCTCTGCTCTGGATCTCTAGAAGCATCTGAAGGGGGGCAGAGTTCAAATGATTAATCTCTGGCAGGCATAAGAAAACATGGTTTGAAAAAGACTGCAGCGGCAATTTGGGTTGCAATCTCATTAGAGTTTACTTACATTCCTTGATAATTTGAACAATCAGTGTGTTTGTAACTGACATGATTGGTCAGCTAAATATATGCAGTGGTGTTAGTTGATGAGGGAAAACAAAATCCTACAGCTGCTGATAGTTTAATTCTGTGAGGTGATTATGAATATGTGATTGTTTCTGTCACAGAAGATCTGAAAGCACAACAGGATGATAGGCTGAAACAGAAGTATCCTTCTTAATTCCTCTTGGGAATGAGGGATAATTAATTCCTCCTGGGGTGCTTGCATGTCCACACCAGGATTTCCATTATGAATGAATGTCTTCCTAAAAGGACACCCATGAGAGTATTCATATAATCAAGGTAGAAAAGTAAATGTTGATAACATCTAGCATTGCTTTGAACTTCCTGTGGACCTACTGAAATCAAAGCTTGTTCAGTCATTCTGGCAAATCAATATAACTTGTCTAGACAGAATACAGGCAGAGGTTTTCTTTTCTGAAGAAAACAGAATGGCTGAAGCTTTTCCTCTTCACAGCAATCAAAGATTTCCCTTGATTGTTACTTTTAGCTGGAAGCATTTTGTGTCATCTGAGTTCTCAGAAGTTTGCTATCAGTAGATGAAGAATTGGGCAATTCTTTGGTAAAGTCTGGAAGTGAAATCCCATGAGCTCTGTGTTAATCTTTTAGTGTTGGTGTAGTGGCTAAGGTGTCAGGCTAGAAACTGGGAGACCATGAGTTTTAATCCTGCCTTAGGCACCCAGCCAGCTGGGTGTCATTGGGCCAGTCACTCTTTCTCTGCCCTAGAAAGAAGGGCAGACCACTTCTGAAAGCTTGCCAAGAAAACTACGGGGACTAGTCCAGTTAGTTGCCAGGAATCAACAATGACTGAAAGCCACGTGTGCGCGCACACACACACGTTGCTATGATTTTATATGGCTTTTCCTGTTTGATTCCTTCCTTTCATATATTTTTTTTCCTACTGTTCTGGGTAAACTTAAAAAAAATGTACACATACCATTCCACAGTTGTACCAGAATAGCTTGTCAGGGCAAGAAATATTTGCAACAGCAATGTACTATCCTTTGTCTATATCTCTGTTATTGAACATTTACATTTATCAAGTAAGAGCTGCATAGGATTGTGGCAATGTGGAGTGTTCCTGTTTGGAGTTCCAGGGAGCCTGCAATATATTCCACTTCTGTCTCAAGTAATAGATTCCACGCCCACAGCGTATACGCAATGGACTTCTCAAAGTCTGGGAAAGGGGATGGGCATTTGCAAAATATTAAGGAGGAGAACATCAGGGAATGAGCAGCATCTTCTCCACTGCTGCAGTCAGCAAGAGGATCAAAGAATCCAGCCCACATGAACCTAACTGATAAATGGAGTGCTAAAGTACACATAAACAGTTTCTTAGATTCTGTAACCTAATCCCGTTTCTTCCTTTCAGTTAATCTGGCTAATAAGTCTCTGTGCAAACCTAACCTTTTTGGATGCAAGAAGCTGCTAAAGGTTTGACAGCATGATCCATTTTACTGATCTGTTGGTTTCTGATTCTATCTCTCTGCTCATTTTTTTTCTTAAAGGTCTGTCTTTTTTTCCCTTTCTCTCTTTGTAAATTGGGTACCACTATCATATTGATGGTACCCAGCCTCAGGACAGTCTGGAAAGGAAGTTTCATTCATCTCCCTCTAAAAAAAATGGAAGCTGGACTGAAGTGTGGGATGATCTGCATAGGGCAATACAGAATAGAAACTGGTCACACTACCAGCTTGAGTTGTGGAATATTTGAACCAGTTAAAAGTAGAGTCCAAAATGGACGATTTCAACAATGCTTTAGCAATGGTTTAATGGGAATAGTTATCCTCAGATAACAGGTTCATTCAGAACAGCCTCTCCTGATTTGTTATTACCTAGATGTATTGAATTACATTTCTCATAATCTCCAATTATCATGATCATTCTAGCTGATTATTTTAGTAGGCATTTAGGAAGAGTGATTTATAATTTAAGCTCTCTCCACCAGCATATTCTCCTTGGCTACTTTAATGAACTAAAATCAGCAAACAGCAAGAGAATAATAGTTGGCTTTGCATCTCCAAAAATTTTGACTGTATCATTGGGTATACAGTATGGAGAACTAAATGGTGCCAATAAACATGTGTCAATCATTACTAAAAGAAGCTGTCATCCATTTCTTTTAGTGCATTCCATTTCAGCTATGTGGAGATGTAATTCCCTCTGCTGCTCTTGCAATAATGTACTCTGGTCTCCCCTGTTTGATTAGGAACTTTGGAATAGATAGGATTCCTGAAGAACCCTGTCTGCAAGCATTCCCTTTCAGATAAATGTTGGAGAAACGCTAGCAGGTTTGTGTGAAGGATAGATAGAAGTGTCACCTTTAATCTTATTTATTGCTCTAATATGTGTCTGCATGATTATGGCAAGGATAATATTGAGATCACTGAATGTACAATGAGAATGAATTGTTGTAAATTATTCTAACATTTCCCAAAAGTTGGCTATTTCTCAAATTCTGATTTTCAGATTAACTATTAATTCTAACCTTTCATGAAATGCAGATTTGAAAGTCAGAGTCTACAAGTAAAATAAAAATGCCCCATAGCTTTTGGATTCTAGATTTCAAAAATATAACAGAAGTGATGAGAACAATGCAGAACAATTAAATGTATTTTTTTTAAATATCTTCTGTTGCAGCTGTTATGTCAAGAAGCCAAGAAGGACCAGGAGAGATGGGAAAAGCCGTTCTCATTCCCAAGGATGATCAGGAAAAAATGAAAGAGCTTTTTAAAATCAACCAATTTAATCTTATGGCCAGTGACATGATTGCATTCAACCGAAGTTTACCTGATGTAAGATTAGAAGGGTGAGTTTATACATAGATCTTGGCATTTAAATGCTTTGTTGATATTTCCATAGATACATCCAGCTCTATAAAATTCCTACCTATTACGTAGTAGGGAATTCAGTCAGTAATCCTAAATGTGATTATACAGAAATCAATCCGATTGAGCTCACTGGGAATTCTGAGCAATCATGCTGTGAAATGCTATATAAGTATCTTGAATTCCATAACTGTGGTATTGGCTTCTTTACCATGTACAAATCATAACGTGTTCATGGGTGGGAAAAGACCTGAACTGGGGATCAAAGCCTGATTTGAATCTTTTGCTACAAGAAACAAATGAGTAAATAATCCTGAATCCAAGCATTAGATTGCCAGATAGAAATTGCTAGTCTGGAAAAACAAATAAGCATTAGGTATAAGAGTGAACTTGCTCAGAAAATGTATATATGCAGGTATAAAGGCTAGATAAACTAGGGAATATATGTTGTTTCTAGAATTGTGGCAGGCAGGCTGTCTTTTATAGGAGATAAGGAAACCCTGCAGGGAAATTATTGATGGGAATGAATGTAAGTATTTCATATGGATTGGGAGGGCAGTGCAGGTATACAGAGCTGAAAATGGTAATGAGAATGTGTGTCGATTATCTAAGCTGATGGGGGTGGGGGTGGGGGGCCAGCAGAGACGGGTTCTTGTCTGTGTGGTTGGTTTATGTTGTTTTTAGCGCTTCACTGGCACAAATGATAGAATCCAGAGAAGAACCTAGACTCTGTTGAATATTTGGAAGAGAAAATGGATATGAGTGAACTATCTCTCTAAAATTAAATAACCCTGTCAGTGTTTTACTATATATTTGAATGATGCATACTGAAAAATAGTTTAAAATGCCTTCAGTTTTGAAGTGTCTTTCCCTGCTCCGTCTCTGTTTCTGGCGTAACAGCCCTGCCTCTGCTTCTGTTCTGATGCCCTCACCTGGACTAGATCATGGCTTTAACACCTGCAAGTTTGCTCACGCTTTTGCTACTTAGAAATGCTGCTTTTCCTGCTGCTGCTGCTGCAACTGTGGGACTCCTGCATTTGCAGTATAGTTGTTCTAAGTACAGAAATTCATTACCGAAACATTCCTCAACACATATGTTTATAGAATAAGAGGATGGTTATGCTGAACAAGGAGAGATACTAAAAATATGTTTATAAACTACCTTCTCACAATATAATGTGAAATCCAAGGCCAATCGCTTTATGTAATCTAATGCATCCATGTCTGTTCTAAAGGGTGGTATCAGTACTGTCAAGCAAAGCGATAACACTATTTGTTCATATCGGATATTCTTATATCAGGATCAAAGTACTTGATCACATACGTAGCCCTTAAGTTCTGTGAACAGCTAACAGACAAAGAAAAATACAGGGCCCTTAGTTACAGTCTCTCTATTTCTAAACAGCTTCACCCTTAATGACTAATTGGTGTCACTTTGCTTGTTATGATAGCTTTTATTTTTTACATTTCAGATTTAGTGTGATAACACAGGACTTAAAGGGTGAAAGATCAAAGAAATGTGTGGTAGTTGGCTAGTAACCATCCATATTACTCCAGATGCTTTGTAGCAACATCAGGAAGGGGATGGTGGCAGAAAGGTGGTACCCTGGTTTCTTTTCGTATTATTTCCCCTAACCCTAACCCATGGCTGATGTTTCTAAAACCAGATGTTGTGACACTAGCAATGTTCAGTGGATAGAGGAGGATTTGCCAGATAGAAACTCTTCTGGATCTGAAATTCATTCTGCAGCCCTCACCCTAGAAAGTGGTGGAAGCCTTGGAGCGGTATGTTTGTGGAACTCTGTTGGTGGTGATGGGTTTTTGGTATATGGGATATGGTTGTCCAGATGCTTCAGATTTTCTTTCTGTTTCTGTTTCTCTGTTTTTTAAACTGTAAGCCACCTGCAGTTGTTTTAAAGTCACCCAGCTTCAAATATTAATGTAATTTATTTGGTTTTGTCTTAGTGTGATATATGAGTTCAGCCAATACAATGTAAATCCTGATTTATGGCTTAATATTATATATGAAGCAGGCCACTGCAGTTTGTCTACCAAATTATGATTAAAATAAACAATGATAGGTGAACCCAGCCTCTGCAAATAGATAAGTAAATAGTAAGCTGTATAGCATTAAATATATTAGCACCATTTGATTATTTATTTGAAACATTTTATCCCATCTCTTGGATGCTTAGTTTTTTCCCTCCAAAATTAGACTTTTAAACAAGATCAAAAACTGTAATAAAAGTTGTGCAATCCTTAACATAGGGTTTTTAAAGACCTGTGTTTGGAAAGTAGAGATTTCCACTTAATCTCTTTTCTTAAAAAAAATTTTTTTTTTCTTGGGTGCTGGAGAAATCACACAATATCGTATATATTAAATAATAAAATATAAAATGAGATTAAATGAGAAAGTGGGGAGGGACTGTTGAGAAGTGGAACTAACTGAAGGTGGAACAGAACAAGAATAAATCAGCTTGTCTGAACTTTAAGAATAAAATGACTAATTGGGCTTCATGAGGCTCGGTGTATAGAATTCCACAGTATGCATGTTATTAGTACATCATATCATGCAATGTTGGGTAGATCTATATTCCGTCACCATAAGTTGAGAGATCAAATGAGACTGTCTCTACTCAAATGGTCAGAAGATTATGAGAAATGAGCCAAAAAGTCACAAAACAGTAAAATGGACTCCCTGCTTTCAAAACAACAGTACCTGTTAGTTTAACACTCTTCTCCTCTTACATAGTAACAAGTTCAAGGGCAGAAATACAGGCTTTGTCTTCTATAGGAAGGAGTTCTGATATTGTGTAAATAAACATTCACTTAATTGTAAAGTATACCAGAAGAGCCACTGGATTTCTAAAGGGCAACCACACCTCAAGAGTATGTCAGTTCTAGATAAAACAAAGCAAACAACAAATAAAGCTGTATGGTATCAAGCTCACAGTGCCTAGGGGCAAATTGTGAACCAACCACCCCTGAGTATTGCCAGCTGACCTCTCCTTTTTCTCCTCTTCATCTGCAATATAGGAATAATTAACTGTCCTATATACATTTCAAAAAGCACCATTTAAAATTATAAATGTTATTATTTCCAGTTTAGGATTGTGACAATTGTGACTCAGTCCATATGCTGTGCCAGTAAAGTCTTTGAAGACGTTGTATAAAATGGGGAACATCTAGTTTTTTTCCCCTCCAAAATTGGACTTAAAAAAAAAGTTAATAGCTGTAATAAAAGTCATGCAATCCTTATTACAGGGTTTTTAAAGACCTGCATTTGAAAAGGAGAGATTTCCACCTATTCCTTTTTTTTCTTCTTCTTAAATTCTCCCTGTGTGCTTGGAGAAAGTTGTTAGTGCATCTCATTGGCAGCAGAGTCTACCTTGTGAAATGAGTGTAACTCTGTTTTCTGACTTAATGGTGCAAGGCTGTTCAACCATGAAATTGCTTTCTTCGTGTGGTTTAACTCCTGTTTGCGTGGACAGCCACAGCTAAGAAAACCTGAGAGCAACAGCGAATGCAGCAACTTGGAGAGCCGGCTGACATTAGGGAGAATTTGGGCATCAGAGTGAGTCATTCTGGTGGGCAGTATATAGCCTAATCAGTCAGTCATATCTAAAAAAAAAACCATAAGTGTGTTTGTTTGTTTTATGGCATTTCTCAGCTGCCCCCATTTCAAAGGGCTCTTAGCGGTGAACTGCAGAAATAGTCAGATGACAACAATTTACAACATTAATACTTAAATAACCCAAATAATTGAAAAGTATAAAATGCTATCATGACTTTTCTGTGAGTAGTGGTTCCGTGCATAATTGATTCTTTATGGAACATACACAATATCCTTCAACAGCCTTGATTTTTCTTATTTTCATCAGGGTTACCTTTCCTGAATTAACTAATTTCTTCTTCCCGCCTCACCAATACATTCATGAAAGAGCAGATTTTAACTAGAGAGCAGATCATCACCACATTTGTACATTGCTTCTGTAACTTGGGTGGGATAAAACCTAATATTTAGAGAAGTAGATTTAGAAGTCTCTCCTGTGAATTGTACAAGGATGAATGAGAAATCATGCTATTAGTTTGTACCATGTCACAGACAGTCACAGATAAGGCAGCTAAGAACAAAAAACTATTCTACATTAAATAAACCTGGCAGATCTACTCAGTTGCAGAGGGAAGAGTTGTTGGGGCATGTTAGAATAAGTTGTGATTTTATAACAGAAGCTCTTCTCTCTAGCCCTCCCCGTTATATTTCAAAACTTTACAAAAGTGTGATTAGTTACACATTTTTCAATACCTTGGAACTGTTGTCAGAACCAAAGTGGTGAATCTGGATTTGCCTTTAACTAGAATAATTATATGAGGTGCCAGATATGCATCCTGAGTGTGTATCAGTATATTACATAGCCCTCCTAGTTGATGAGATGCAGGCAGCTCTATACTCAAGATACCATCTAGATCAGTGATTCTCAACCTTTTTGAAGCTGCCGCCCCCCTAAGGAGTGGAAAATTTTTCAACGCCACCCTTTGGGGACGGGGGGGAGTTACTGAATTATAAAAGGCAAAAATTTCATATCTGGCACCTCATATAATTATTCTAGTTAAAGGCAAATCCAGATTCACCACTTTGGTTCATATCTGGCACCTCATATAATTATTCTAGTTAAAGGCAAATCCAGATTCACCACTTTGGTTTGCATTCCTTTTATTAAAATTAAAATGACTAACGCAAAACAAATGAAGCGAACGAAAAGCAACTCAAGAAACACGGGTCAAATCAAACATTCATATTGAAAGGACGCTCAATGCACTCGCTGCGATTAATTGCGTGGGAAGACAGCTGACGCATGTGCTGTGCTGGTTGGGATCGGAGAAAAACTGTAGTGTCGAGTTCTTCAAGGTCATCCTACCTAGAATACAAATTCGTCTCACCATTCTTAGAAGTGAGTGAGGGCAGCCGTCGCGTAAGTTC